TGATTGGGTGTTTATGGATAAAAGAGATTCACATCTCACATTAGCATTTTAGTAAATCAGGCCTTTGACTAACTAATTTCATTTAACTTTACACCTTAGTAAGTTGAGCATGTAGTGAATGTGTTCCTATTTATTCTGTGGGGGTCTATTATTATACATTTATTTAGCTCTGACATAACACAGTGCTGTACAGAGAACACTGAGCCAGTCACATCAGTTTCTGTACAGAGGAGCTTACACTCTAATGCAAAATGGCACCAGCTACAGGGGGACTACAAATCCCAGCAGTACATTATACAGCAATGCAGAACATTAAATGAATTGGACTCTGGACTTAGTAACGCAATGGACTCTGGACTTAGTAACGCACGGGACTCTGGACTTAGTAACGCGCTGGACTCTGGACTTAGTAACGCGCTGGACTCTGGACTTAGTAACGCACTGGACTCTGGACTTAGTAACGCACTGGACTCTGGACTTAGTAACGCACTGGACTCTGGACTTAGTAACGCACTGGACTCTGGACTTAGTAATGCACTGGTCTAAGGACTTAGTAACACCCTGGTCTCAGGACTTAGTAACACCCTGGTCTCAGGACTTAGTAACACCCTGGTCTCAGGACTTTGTAACGCTCTGGTCTCCAGACTTAGTAACGTACTGGACTCTGAACTTAGCAACGCACTGGACTCTGAACTTAGTAACGCATTGGACTCTGAACTTAGTAACGCACTGGACTCTGAACTTAGTAACGCACTGAACTAGGGACTTAGTAACACACTGGAAACTGGACCGGCGCTGCTGGGTATTGGCCTCTCGCTGCCAGACCACCACTGCTGGGGCCCGGCCTCCTCCACCTCCTCCGCTGTCAGTGGGATGGGGGGCCTGGGCCCCTCAGGCTGCCCGGGCCCTTTATATGGGTATTGGCCTACCCCCTGATGGTGGCCCGGGGGGGCACACACATATATGCCAACTGTCCCAAATTTTCCAGGACAGTCCCACCTGTTGGTCCTCTGTTCTGATTATGCGGTGTCACATGATCAAGGCATTACCCTTATGGCCGTGAGTGGATGGTTCCCACACATTTAGGGGTGGGGTTGCCCAGAAAGCAAGCATAGTCTAGGTGGGAGTGCCCAGAAGAGGGACGTGGTGCGTGGGGCATGGGCAGGACAGTTTCCCGGAGACTAAGACTAATATGTTGGTAAGCATGTAAAGTACTTAAACAAAGAAAATAATGCCTTTCAATGCTGATTATGGAAAAAAACAGGATCAGCACTGTGGAAAGCACATAGATATTGCTTTTTAGAATGAATTTAAAGCAAAGTATTCACTTATAATATGGTATAACTCATTTTGCTTGCATTTCTAAGCGTCAACAACTTTGAAAACATTTTAGGTATCATGAGAAAAACGAAAAGCAATGTCAGGTGAATTTGAATAGCACAACACTGCATATATTAAGTTGTAAACTAAGACAGAAAATTATTTAAAAAGGAGAATCATCTAACTCCTGAAATCTGTTATTAGTTTGTTCATTTTGTTTTTGTGTACATGCAGTTTAACCTCTGTTTAGTTGTAAAGTATGGGGGTAGTGACAGGTGTAATGATACATTGTATATAGTATGGGGTAGTGACGGGTGTGATCATACATTGTATATAGTATGGGGTTAGTGAAAGGTGTAATGATACATTGTATATAGTATGGGGTAGTGACGGGTGTGATCATACATTGTATATAGTATGGGGGGTAGTGACGGGTGTAATGATACATTGTATATAGTATGGGGTTAGTGAAAGGTGTAATGATACATTGTATACAGTATGGGGGTAGTGACAGGTGTGAGGATACATTGTATATAGTATGGGGGTAGTGACAGGTGTAATGATACATGGTATATAGTATAGGGGTAGTGACAGGTGTGATGATACATTATATATAGTATGGGGGCAGTGACAGGTGTAATGATACATTATATATAGTATGGAGGTAGTGACAGGTCTAATTATATATTGTATATATTTTCACCTGATTGTTAGACCGGTCCTTTCAGCCTCCTCCGCTCCAGTGGTATAAGGTCCTATCACGTCCAGTCACAGTCTATTGGACGTGAGGATGCCAAGGGACATTCCATCACTGGAGCATAGAAGGAGACAGTTTGGGGGGACCAGTCTAGCAACCAGCCAACATCAAGATTCAGGTGAGTATATCTCTGTTATTTTTGTCCCTAGTGCGGGGGTTGCCCCATTGCACGGGTTAAGAATATTTATGCCTGAAGTTCTTCTTTAAGCAACTTGGAGAAAGAAAGGCACAGGATTGTTAAATTACCAAATAATAGACAGTAATACAATTACGGTATGCATTATATCTTTGTGAATTGACACTCTTGAGTGTGTAGATGAGTGTTTGACAATTTTAGGCACGAAGCCTAGCGATCTGAGCCATCTGGAGGCAATTTTTTTTCCAACACATTTTTGTTACATTGTAATTGTATTTTGCAGCAACATCTTGTTCCAGCCAAGCAGCTCTTATGTATGGATCTCATAAGAAATCTGAGCACTTTATCTGTATTTCTAGTACTGGAGCTATTTAAGCTGAGGGAAGATCAAGCTTCAGTATGATTTCACTGTAACAAAACTTTTCTTTTACTTTTCTTTTCTGCTTTTGTTCAGCACTATCTTAGACTAAATACAAAGGTACCAAATAGTTAATATTGTGCCACATATGGGTAATTATCCATGTGTTGGTAATCACAGAAAATGTAGGTCTGTGCTTTGGGACAATAGAGATTATGTTAGTGATTTTGTTTAATGCAGCTTATTACTTTATTTCCCTCAGCAATTAAATCTAAATGATTTTGATTCTATTTTGGAAGCATTGTTTATTTGTTTTGCTCAAGGGTAGGAGTCACAATGAAAAAAAGGTACGCTTAGGTGATGAAGTGCCCTCAGGGTGTCAAAATAACAGGTTTACTTTTCTGTATAGACCCTTAAACTCTGTCTAAAGTCAACTTAACCCCCTTTATGTATCCTGGTGACCATTGGGAATGAAAGTAGGGGAAATAAAAAAACCTTGAGTTGTCACTAAAAAACAGTAGAGGGTAAATCTGTCAACAGGGACAGGTGTTCCAGTTACAACTGTATAAGAGGGGTGTTACCTCAAGTAATTTTTCCCAGTGGACCATGAATGGGAAAAAAGGCAGGGATTATTACTATACTCTACACTCTCCAAAACCAAGAAATATGCCTAAGAGAATTGACTTACCTTACACATGCTCTCCTAATCTATGACTGGAGATTGGGCCAGGATGTCCAGTTATGAAGGAACACATAATACATGTCCTGCCTTTCAAAATGCAGGATGTCTGAGCAGACAAATGCAGGCTCAATCACTACTACATGGGAGTGGGGTGGGTGCACACAGCCTGAGTAAGATTCAGCTAAGGGAAAATTGGCCACACAGTCCTGGTGACCAGTGTGTGACTTGCCACTGTCAGAAAACAATAGCTCAACCGGTGGCTAGTTGTTAGTATGGATGGGGCAGGACTGCATGAGAAACAATGATCAGTGTATGGCCAGTCTTACATAAGACTGTGAGGTATTCTGTCATTAGACTGTAGTGGGGGGGGTATGAGTGGAAGTAAATCCTCCTAAAGGCCCTTACAGCAAGGTGAACTTGCTGCCCAGTTGGTTTCCCTCAACCATAATTTATCAAAAATAAAAAATCATTGAGATGTGATACTGTTACAGACTTGCCTAGAGTAGCAAGCCACTCTTTCTCCCCACTGTGTCTTCCAGTGCACATGCTTCTCTGCCCTCACTTTGTCCTCACTACCCGCTCTCCCCTCTGTGGAGTTCAGAGAAACTGAGCTCTTTGGCCGGGAGCAAGGGGTGCAGAATGGGGCAGTTTTGTACGTTTTTGACCACACCGGGGTGTTTATATGTCTGGGGAAATGTTATACTGCTTGCTAGCAGTGAATTAAGGTACAGAAGCACTGAGCATTTCATACCACTTTAAACCTTATATGAGTGTTAAGTTTACATGTATGGGTTAGATTTACTGAGTCATGTTCTTGGTTAGATTTAGGTTAAAGGCACATTCCATCTTTTAGAAGAAATTACTAAATGCACCCAAATAAAAAATAAAAAAAATTGTAAATGGATCTGTAAATGGATGAGGAGGATGACATGCCACATTCTAAAAAAAGTACAGCAGCCAGCAGGGAGAAGAACCCAGAGATTCAG